AACTTAAATGTTAATATTATGTGTAAAGGTTCACATTATAATCTCTATGATCTGGAATAAAATGACCTGGGAGCAAAGTTAAAGTTTCATTCCTCCACAGGCACCTTATCTCAGGTGTACGCTCATGTGTTGGCAAGTTTGTAAGTGATAATAAGTAGGCAAAATGCAAATCAACCTAGTCCCATACTTGGACTGATCGTTCAAATTGCTAACCAGTAGCTCTGCTTCCCATCACAACCCAGTTTTCTTCTGGACTCAAGATCCAACTGAAAAAGTCTCCTTATTCACATTTCTCCAAAGATATAAAAACTACTTGCAAGCCACTCAGATATCTGTTTGAGAATACCTGTGGCATAATCAAAATGTGGGAAAAGGATTAGTTATCACATTAAACATCCAAGTTAGGTTATATTTGTATGTAGCCTCATCAGTCTCCTCAATTTGCAAATAATATCTATATGAACAGTTTCCTATAAGAGTTTAGCAACATGCTGTTCTGTAAATAAGACAGGGTAAAACACTGGCATTTAATGCAGTTGATCTAGCAAATCCATGAGCTATTAAAAATATAAACCAATCTCTTTTGAGCTGACTAGTTACACAAAAAATTTGAAATTATGAACAAGAGGTTCATCAGTAACAATTAAGGAACTATAGAAAACTTCTTTTTAAAATAAACTTGTCATTTATCTGATTGAAGATTTATATAAGAGAAAGAGTTTGGAGAATTTTCTTCCATGCATGAAGTGAGCTGATTGTTTGTTTTAATAGACGTTTAAAAGAAAATAGCTACATAGCTCAATAGTTCTTTTCTAAACCATGAAATATTGTACTATGATTTGTAAGACATAAAATAATACAGCTCTTCTTTCAAATGCCAGTGCATTACTCTTTAGTGTTCAAGCAGCAAATCACAAAACCAGAACTGATTAGCTTTTATTCATTTTAAAAAAGCACCCAGGGAAATCACTGATTTTGTTTATAGGAATGCTTACCTGTTGTTAAAATTAAATTTGAGATCTTATAAGTGAATTTCATCTCCAAACATAAATATTTCTTATAGTTTTTCCTTAAAAACAGTATGAGAAAAAATGGTTTGAAATATCTTCCTAGACAAAGAAGCTAACCAACAGAAAAAGAAACCCCAGAAAACTCCTCAAAGCATTTTTCTTACACTGTGAGAACTGAACTCACCTTACAATTGCTGGAGTAGTGGCTCAAAGAGTTTCCTAAATCAACAAGCTTATGGGTTGTCTTACTGAGAATAATAGCACTTTTTATTACCTTTATTTTCCTTAGTCTTTTCACATTTTGTAGGAAATTTTAACTTCTTGGTAAAAAGTATTTTCATTGGAATAACAAGTGGGACTTTCAGATGCCTGTCATTTTTAAAAATGCTTTGAAGTTTGAGTTTTCTATATATATCAAGAGAGTTAAGACCCTCTGAATAGTATGTACTAATGATAAATTTAAGATTTCAAGAATCAACCTACATTACCGTTAATAAAACTGTACCTGTTATTGACATCACACAGCTTTTGTGCAAGTTTCATTTGTGACAAGTATTTATTAAACTTATCAAATGGCAGGAAAAAGGCCCCAACACTGATGTTTTAAAAATACTGACAGACTCTGAATGTTGATGGTATTGGACCAATCAGATAATGTGGTAAATCAGTGCTAAGAGGTCAAAGCAGTTGTAGAAAAATGAAAAGCATTTAGGAACGTGAGCCTATTCATCAGCCCCCCTTTTAGAGAAATACAATACTTCTATGGGAAGCCTGAAGGAAGGTGCTATGGTGAGCAGGATTCTAAGATGATCTCTAAGATTCTCTTTCTCTGGTTAGTGAATATGATGGGATGCCACCATGGGAATTATTATACTGCATGGCGGGAGATGTTTTGCCAATGTGGTTGGTATTCTTAATTATTTCACATTGATACAATCCAAGGGAAGGGAAACTCAGACTAATGTAGGTGGGTTCTTCACAGAGGTCAGAGATATTGGAAGCATTAGAGAAATTCCCCTGCTGGTCTGGTGGCATTTAAGAAGTAAATTGCTAAGTGAGGAGAGTGTCCATGGTGGCAGCCACAGGGCAAGGACCTGAGGGTGGTCTCTAGAAGCTAAACTATGGACTGTTTATACAACTCTAAAGAATCAAATTCTATGTCAACTAGTGGATTAGTAGAGGATCCTAGACTTGAGGCAAGATCCTGAGCAAATGACTCACTAACTTTGTTCTATACTGCAGAACAAGGGAACTCTTAGACAATAAATTTGAGGTGTTTTAGGTTCATAAGTTTTGGATAGCAGTTTTTTCAATGTTAGAAGATGAATACAGGAGGTATTACTGTTTCTGTGTGGACAAAATAGCTGCAAAGGTGAAGGCAAGATCATAGGCTAGAGAAAGCTCTTTCAGTAAAGTGCTAAGCATAAGACCTAAGTCTCTTCCCTGAAACTAAGAAAGAAAAAACTAGGTTGGTGCATGCTAATACTAATTCCATTGCAAGGGAGGTAGAAACAGGAGGATTCTTAGAACTCACTGACTATTCCAATTGATGAGCTCCAGACTCAAAAAATAAGAATTTTGATACCATATGTACACCATAGAAAACCAGCAAAGTTAAAAGTAACAGCTGATAGAATGAGAAAAAAATGGGTTGTCTGAAGCATATAGTAAAAATCATTAAACAAAATCTTCTCATACATTGTTGTGTAGCGATTTCCTCTGAGATAAGACCTTTGATCTTGGAGGGAAGCACCTAAGACACAGGATGCTAAAAGGGAGCTGAAAATGAAGGCCTTTAGCTCTGGAAGTAAACAACTCAGTGGCTTCAGGAAGTCCCTGAAACTGACCAGATTCACTAGGTCTCTCCCTCACAAAAGGACTGCTCAAAGATATTGTAAAATCAGCTAAGGTCCTTGGAAGAAGCAGCCTTCAGGCAACTGAGCTACCAGCAAGAGCTCAGACTAACTGAGCAACCTGGAAAAGAGACTCTCCAAGCTGCTGAGCTGCCTGCAGGCTGTGCAGTGTGTTTTGGGTGTCCTGCTTTCAGGAACTGCCACTTACGCTGGGGTCAGTTTTGGTGATGCAGCTGACACTGAGTCATTTCTATCCCTTCAAGTAACTCCTCACCCATACTCCTGTAAGTAACTCCAATAAAACTCAGTGGTTCATTATGTTGTACTTTGGTGGTATCCTTATTTTGGCCTGTCGTTGGTTCCCTATCTGGGGTGAGTAGACATTTTTCAAGTCTCTAGGACACACACACACACACACACACACACACACACACAAGACAGGCTCATATGTGACATTAGACTCTAGAACTTCAGCTGTAGCAATCCAGAGTGCAAGCCAACTTCAGTCTTTCATACTTTTCTTCCTTTGGTCCAGTTTTTATTTGTATGGAATAATACATTATCCACATCATCATCATAGATTGAGATGGAGGAGTCGACATGGATTTTGTGGTCTATTAAGGACTAAGTATTATACAGGCCATATAACTTGTGGCCTTTTTCCTAAAAATTAATATTCATAAGTATTCATTGAGTGGCTATAAACTACTTACAATTAACACTGGAAAAGGGCTACTTTTGACTCTTTATACCAATGATGGGTAATCTATAGTCAAACTTTTTGGGTTTTTTTTTTTTCACAATTTCTTTGATTGAAATGGATACTGTAACACCTGGCAATTGATATGCTACAAAACAAACTGGTAACTCTTTCTTGACAAAAAATGATTAGACTCCTATTCTAGCTTTTTTTCCCCCCTTTCTTTCATTGCTATGATAAAACATTGGCCAAAATCAACTTGGGGAGGAAAAGGTTTATTTGACTTACAGTTTACAGTCCATCATTTAGGGAAGCCAGGGCAGGAGCTCAAGGCAAGAACCTGGAGGCAAGAACTGAATCAGAAGCTATGGAGAAAGGCTACTTGCGTGCTTTCTGTTTTCTGGCTTTCTTAGCTACTATTCCTATAGTAGCTTGTGGGTGATGGCACTACCCACAGTGGACTGGGCCTTCTTATATCAAATAGTGATTAAGAAAATGTCTCACAGACATGCCCACAGGCCACTCTGATGGAGGAAATTCCACAGTTGAGATTCCCTCTTCCCGGGTCAGGTTGACCCAAACTGACCAACACAACATCTAAAGTTAACAGCTCTGGAAATGTGCATAAGTTGCAGCACATTATACTTTGAAAGTCTATAGTCACGATTTAATATATGAATAATATTTTATGAAAATATTTGTTTTGAATTATTTAGATTTATTCCAAAGTAAAAACCTAAATGAGTCTGATTTGGCCCACTAATATAAGACTTCTCAATGACATGTTATATAACCATTAAAACATATTAAACAGTAAATCATATGTAGAGATTTTTAGGATAATAAGTTAAGAGGAGAAGAGTTACACAGAATTACATCTACTGTGTGATTACACTGATTTAAAAAATCATCAAATTCAAATGTAAT